CAAAGAGTTATGTTTTGGCTAGGGATATAATCCAGTGGTAGAGCACTTACCAGCACACACAAGGCCCTGTATTTCATTTCTAGCACCCCAAAAGCGAATAAACAACAACAAAAAAGAAATACAACTGCCTGCATGAAATAAATGAATAATTCTAAACTTAAGGTGTTATTAATTATATAATCTACACAAAGTATCCCTGTAGTACAAATAGTCTTATTTCATTCTAAAGTAGATTTACATAGGAATATGTACATTTCTGCCCTATTTAGTTCTACCAACAGCTAAGGAAGAAAATTACCTCATATTTTTACTGAAGAACACAACTCTGGCTAAAAGCCAGATTTTTTTGGGGGGGGGGTGAACACAATATCTTTATTTTATTTTTATGTGGTGCTGAGGATTGAACCCAGTGCCTCATGCATGGCAGGCCAGCACTCTACCACTGAGCCACAAGCGCAGCTCCATGTGTTAGGTTCTTTAAGAACCACAAGGTGCTAAAATGTCCCAGAGCTGTTAAGAATACATGAAGTATGCTTTGTGATAAGCTGCAATAGCCTTTCACAGGCTTAGTTTAAGTTTGGGCTAAGGATATAGCTCAATGGTAGAGAATATGTTTAGCTTACAAGAGACTCTGGGTTCAATTCCCAACACCAACAAGTAAATAAGACTATATTTAAGCTGATCCTCAAAATTACTAATTGACCTGTTCCCGAAAACTTTGAACACTGCCCACCAACAAAAATTGGTTACTGCTTTTATACTTTTTATTTCAATAATATATGGCTATCAATGCCCAGACTAATAAGTAAGCTAATAATATGTACTGGAAGAATGAAATTGTATAGAAGACAGGCAAATTTTTAATTCCCTGATTTTACAAACATGGCATTTGTTTTTTGCAAAAAAAAAAAAAAAAAAAATCAATATGTTCTCCCCAAATGCATCATAATCTTTTTATAAAACTCTGATCAAATCGTGCTCAACCAGAGAAATGAAAAGTTGCGCTGCTACTGGGTACAATGAATCAAAATGCATTCTGCTGTCAAACATACCTAATTAGAATAAATAATTTTAAAAACTCTGGTCAAAATATATTGAAAAAATACTATGATTCAACAACAAAAAGACAAATAATCCAATTTTAAAATGAGCGTGTAGTATGTACAAGATCCTAGATTCTATCCCCTGTATTGGAAAAGAAATAACAAAAAATTGGATAAAGCATTAGAATAGATATTTCTTCAAAGAAGGTATACAAATACCTAATAAACACATTATTAGTCATTAGGGAAATCCAAATAAAACCACAGAATATCACTTTACATACATATGGATGGCTATAATTAAAAATAACAGGGCTGGGGATGTAGCTCAGTGGTAGAATGCCTGCCTAGCATGTGTGAGACCCTGGGTTCAATCCCCAGCTCCACAAAAAGCAACAACCAGAAAACAACAATGATAACAAAATTGGTATATTGCCAGGGAGAATATAAAATGACATAGCTACTGGGAAAAACATTTTGGCATTTCCTCAAAAAGTGTCGAATTACCACCTAACACAGCAATTCTACTCAAAGGAATGTACTCAAAAGCATTTAAAAACAGAGACTCGATTACTTGTATAACAGTATTTATTACAGTATTATTCATAATAGTCAAAGATGAAAACAACCCAAGTATCCATCAACAAATGAGTGGATAAACAAAATATAGTATAGACACACAATAAAATATTCAGCAATAATGAAGAAATTAAGTTCTAATTCATGCAACAACACAGATGAACCCTGAAAACATGCTAAGTGAAATGAGCCAGACAAAAGAACAAATACTACATAATTCTACATACATTAAATAACAGAAAGACAAAAAGCTGATTAGCAATTACTAAGCTGGAAAGAAGAATAAATGGGATGTTAAAGCCTAATAGATACAGAATTTCTATTTGCAATGATAAAAGAGTCTTTGAAATAGATTGTGATGGTAGCTGTGTAACACTATAAAGGTAATTAATGTTACCATATTGTACACTTAAAAATGGCAATATATTATGTACATGTATTTTTTAAATTAATATACTTTATTCTTCATAGTTTTAGGTTCACATCAAAATTGAGCAAAAAATACAGCATTCCCATATATTCCCTGTCTCTGCACATCCACAACCTCCCCTGCCATCAATATCCTGAATCAAAGAACACTGTTGCAATCAGTGAGCTTACACTGACACATTATCATCACACAAAGTCCTTACTTTATATTAGGGTTCACTCTTGGTGTTGTAGACCAATGTATAAAAACATGTATCCACCACTGTAGTAACATATAGAATAGCTATAATGCCCTAGAACTCTTTTGTGCTCCACCAATTCATCCTCCTTCCCTGAAACTCCTGGCCAACAGCACTTATCCTTTTACTGTCTCCATAATTTTGCCTTAACCAGAATGTCATATAGTTAGAGTCATACAGTCTATAACAGATTGGCTTCTTTTATTTAATATGCAATTATATTTCCTCCATGTCTTTTCATGGTTTGCTAGTTCATTTCTTTTTAGTGAGAGATGACATTCCAATGTTTATATGTACCATTGTTTATTTATCCACTCACCTACTAATTGACATTTTAGTTGCTTCCATGTTTTGGAATTACAAATAAAGCTATAAAGTTTATTTATAAATAAAGTTATAAATATCCACACACAGGTTTTTGTATGGATATAAGTTTTCAACATATCTGGGTAAATATCAAGGAGTGTAATTGCTGGATTATACAAGAGTATGTTCACTCTTTTTTAAATTTTTTTTTAACAAACTGCTCACTGTCTTCCAAAATGGCTTTACTATTTTGCATTTCTACCAGCGACTAACTGGAGCTCCTATTGCTCCACATTCTCACCAGCATTTGGTTTTGTCAGTGTTCTGGATTTTTGCCATTCTAATAGATGTGTTGTAGTATCTTACTGTTATTTTAATTTCCAATTCCCTAATGACAATTGATATTGAACATCTTTTCACATGCTTACTTGCTATCTATATAACTTATTTGGTGAAGTATTTGTTCAGGTCTTTTGCCCGTATTTTAATTAAGTTGTTCATTTTCTGAGTTTTAAGAATCCATTGTAAAGTTTGGGTCACCCCCACCACCCACCAGGACTGGGGATTAAACCCAGGGGCACTCTACCAAGAAATACAACCAAGCAATTTTTCATTTTTATTGTGGGACAGGGTCTTGCTGAGTTGCTGAGGCTGGCCTCCAACTTTCGATCTCTGTCTGAGTCTTTGGAGTGGCTGGGATTATAGAAATGTGCCATCATGACTGGCTGGATAACTGTTTTAACAGATGGTCTTTGGCAAGTTCTTTGTCCCACTCTGTGGCTTGTTCTCTCATTCTTTTAATGACTTTTGCAGATCAAAAATTTAACTTAAATGAAGTCTAGCTGATCAATTATTTCTTTCATGGATCATGCCTTTTGTGTTGTATCTAGAGAGTCATCACCACAACCAAGGTTACTTAGGTTTTCTCCTATATGTTATCTCTTAGGGGTTTTATAGTCTTGTTTTACATTTAGGTCTATAATCCATTTGATTTAATTTTTGTGAACAGTATAGGCTCTTTACCTATATTTAATCTTTTGTAAGAGGATGTCCAGTTTCTCCACCACCATTTATTGAAAAGACTATCTCTACTCCATTATACTGTCTTTGCTCCTTTGTCAAGGATCAGTTAACTATATTATTTACATGAGTCTATTTCTGGGCTCTCTATTCTTTATCATTGTCTATTCTTTCAGGAATACCATGATTAACCTTTCTAAGTCTCAGGTTCTTCCTTGTTAAACAACAATATTCTTCCAAGTCTAACAAAAATGCATACAAAGCACTTAGCACAGTGCCTGGTTATAATCAATTGTGAGATGCTAGTTATAGCTACCTACAATAGTTCACACCAGACAAAACCAAAACTTGAACTACAAGATTCTAAGAGTGAATTTGGCAGGCACTGTTATTTAAAAAGCAAAGTAGTAAAATGTGGCCTCAAGTTTTTTATTTAAATATTATGGCACTAACCAATAAAAATAGGGAAGAAAAGACAGACAGGAGAAAGCATTAAAGTTTGAGATGCTTGAAAGGGAACAGAATGGAGGAATTAAGATTTAGAATAGCTGAAATAGAGGACAGAAGAAACTGTTGAACTAAAATACATAAAATGACTGACTGAAGATTTTAAATTACAACATATCAGGGCTGGAGGTATAGCTCAGTGGCAGAGCACTTACCTAACATGATAAATCTAGTAGGTGTGATCCCCAGCACAGACCCTCCTCCCCGCAAATTACATCATATCTACATGTTTGTGTGATTTTTGCCAACAGTACTCAGCTGACACAGACCATTATTTGACTCAGTTATAGGTGGTTACAGAAGTTCTCGCTTCTTTACCATATTCTCCATAAATTAAGTCTTAATAATTATAGAATGAATTCTTCCAAGTAAACAAAAAGGGAAATATATAAATACAATTTAATGAGATTTACTAAAATTGTTCTTAAGCAGTTTATTAGCATTAACTAGATAGGTTAATTTACCTTTTTCAAAATTAACCTAACATCTTTTGTTCAAACAGATTGTTTAGATGGGTAGTATAGCATAGTATGATTAAAAAGGAAAGTAAGGGATAAAGGAACAACTGTTTCAATGGAATGTCATTATTCAGTCTGATAAATAATTTAAAAATCACTTACCCATTTTGGAAAGAACCACTTTGTGTTTCTGAATCATCACTGTCACTGATGATAATAGTTTCTCCATCTGTACTGCTAACATGTCCATTAGCATAACCATTATGATGTGGAGGGAGGACTTCCAAAATCCTACACTGTAACCTGAAACAAAATGAATGCAAATCACTTGATACTTTACAACCAAACATTTCACAACAATCTGTTTTGAACAAATGAAGTTTTTATTTACTTATTTATCCACAGATAGATCATTACATTGTAACAAGAATAACTGCCTACATCATAACAAGGTCTGAGGGAGGCACATCCCTTATATCAGCTTAAAAATCCAATAATCATGCTTCTTATCAACAAAAGGATCAGTTTTATAGAAAGAGTATAGCTGACTAAATAAACAATTTAATTAAGAAGAAAATCTGTAATATCCAATTTAAGCAAAGATTAGATACAATTCAAACAATACAAAACTATAATTCAATTTATGAAAATCTTTAGCAATTATATTCTTTATATTTCCTTCCTCCTACTAGATCTGAATTTTAGTTTCTTTTTTCTTTGGTGGGAAAGGGAAACCAGGGGTTGAACCTAGGGGCACTTAACAACTGAGCTACATCCCCATCCCTTTTTAAAAATTTTTATTTGAGACAGGGTCTCCCTAAGTTGCTTAGGACCTCACTAAGTTTCTGGGGCTGACTTTGAACTTGTGATCTCCTTACTTAGCTTCCTGAGTTAGTGGGATTATAGGTATGTGCCACTATGCCCAGCTTTAGTTTAATTTATCAAGTTAGACTATTGATTTGAGATCTTTCTTCTTATTATTTTTTTTACAGTTAGCTGGATACAATACCTTTATTTTATTTATTTATTTTTATGTGGTGCTAAAGATTGAACCAAGTACCTCACACATGCCAGGTGAGAGTTCTACCACTGAGCCACAACTCTTTCTTATTTTTTAACACACCCATTTATAACCATAAAATCTCCCTTTAGTTCTTCTTTTGCTGTGTCTGGTTAAGTTTGGGTATACTGTTATTTTTATATTTCCTTTGTGATTTATTTTTAATCCAATGGTTATTTACGAGTGTGTTATTTGGGGCTGGAATTATAGTTCAGTGGTATACAGCACTTGCCTAGCATGTGTGAGGCACTGGGCTCAATTCTCAGGACCACAAATAAATAAACAAAATAAAGACTATGAAGAATTGAAAAAAAAATTAAAAAGAAAAGAGTGGGTTATTTAAATTTCCACAAATTTGTGAATTTCCCAGTTCTCTTGTTGTGGTCAGGGAAAATACTTTGTATGATAATGTGACCATTAATCTTAGGCATCAACTTCACTGGATCAGAGGAAACCTGGATAGCTGGTAAAACATTATTTTGGGGTGAGTCTATGGACTAAATGAAGATGATCAGTCCTTAATCAGCAACCACTGATTCTAAATTTCAGGATTTTACCCCCGGACTGAGAGTTGACCATCCATTCCCTGGTCCTAAGGCCTTTTCAGACTTGGACTGAGCCATGCTACTGGCCTCTCTGGTTCTCCAGCCATTAAGATGGCCTACTGTGGGACTTCTTGGTTTCCATAATTGCGTAAGCCAATTCTAATAAATTTCCTTCACATATCTCTCCTCTCCCATATATTTACTATTGCTTCTCTCTTTCTTTCTCTCTCAAGAATCCTGATTAATGAAAGTATCTATCTTTTAGAATCCAATTAGGGCCTGGTGCGGTGGCACACTCCTGTAATCCCAGCAGCTCGGGAGGCTGAGATAATTTAGCAAAGCTCTAAACAAACTTACTGAGATGGTGTCTAATACAAAACAAAACAAAACTGAGTTGCTTAGCACCTTGCTATTATTGAGGCTGTCTTTGAACTTGCCATCCTCCTGCCTCAGCCTCCCAAGCTGCTGGGACTACAGGTGTTTGCCCTTGTGCCCGGCTAGAAATTTTATATATATACTTTTTGTGTGTGTGTGGGGGGGTGCTGGGGATTGAACCCAGGGATTTGTGCATGCAAGGCTAGAAATTATATTCCTTTAAAAATTATTTTTAGTTTTTCGTTGTAGTTGGACACAATACCTTCATTTATCTATTTCTATGTGGTGCTGAGGATCGAACCCAGGGCCTTGCACGTACTAGGTGAGCACTTCACCCTGGGCCACAACCCCTGCCCCTAAAAATTATATTCTTAACTAAAGTTAACTGTTTAGAAAATAAAATGTTGGCACAATCTATCATTATACAGATTGGCCTTATCATTTTTCAAATCATCTAATTTATATATATATATATATATATATATATATATATATATATATATATGTTATAGATGGACACAATATCTCCTTCCTTCCCTCCTTTCTTCCTTCCTTCCTTCATTTATGTGGTGCTGAGGATGGAACCCAGGGCCTCACTCGTGCGAGGCAAGCGCTCTACCACTGAGCTACAGCCCCAGCGCAGTATTTAACATTTTAATTTCAAAATTTTCCTGACCATTTCCTTATTATACTTACCAAAAATCTTGAAATGTTTTTTAAAATATATTTTAGTTGTAGTTGGACACAATACCTTTATTTTATTTGTTTATTTATTTTTTTATTTTTACGTGCTAGGCAAGTACTCTACCACTGAGCCACAACCCCAGCCCCTTGAAATGTTTTTTGATTTCTGGAAGGTTTCCTGTTCACTAACTCTATGGTCCCTATTCTGGCTTCTTCTTCTTCTTCTTTTTTTTTTTTGGTTGTTGTTGCTTTTGGTGCTGGGGATTTCTGGGGATTTGACCCAGGGCCTCATAAATTCTAAGAACAAGTTCTACCACTGAACTGTACTGCAAAACCTAATCTGGCTTCTTTTACTCTGCACATTCCATCTAGATTTTATGGACTGCAACTTCAGACTCATTCACTACATCTAAAATATTCCTGAATCCCATTTCTACTGTGCCAATTTTCAGTGCAAGAAAAAAAGGCACCTGCTTTCTTCACACTCCCTCTTATTCCAATTTCTTTATTTCCTGCCTCGAAACCACAAGTCCATTGTGAATTCAAGGTTAGGATCTTATTATTATGGTTAGTATCATTTTTGTTGGTTCTCAAAGAGATTTCTGAAACCTTCTTCTTTCTCAAGTCCCTGTCCTGCCCCCAGCTCTTTAATGTTAAAAAAGCAAAGAAAAGATCTTGACTTAGGATCTTTGACTTTTCTTCTTTTCAATACCAAAATGTCCATATTTATCATAACTCTCCATATTACTATGTCAAAGGGCTCTTCTTCATCCTATACCACTCTTCTTGTTTCATCTCCTGTGTATTTTTAGCCTTACTCTGCTAGCCACATAGTATTCAATACCCTGGAAAACTTATATCCATTCTCCAGCTTTCTAGAGATTCCAATTCTCTAATACTCATTGGAACCTGACATTGCTGAAGCCAAAGATGACTGCAAGAACAAAGAGGAGAATCTGAATAAATATCCCCTTGTGTAGAAATACACTGATTGTCAAAACAGCAAGGAGAAAGCCAAGCAAAGAAAACCTACATCTGTACCTGTTCTGTATATATTTTGCTTCTATCAAAGACCATTTCCTTGGCTAAAAAAATAAATGTATAGCTTCTTTCTATCAATATATAATATGTTCTTTAGTGCTGTGTCTCCTTTCCCAGAGCTTCCTCACATGTCTTCACAAGTCTTAAAAATACTTTTGGCCAGTTGTGGTGGGGCATACCTGTAAGCCCAGTGACTCTGAAGGCTGAGATAGGAGGATTACAAGTTTGAGGCCAGCCTCAGCAACTTAGTGAGACCCTGAGTGGTAGAGTGCCCAAGTTCAATGCTCAGTACCACCAAAACCAAAACAACAACAACAACAACAACAAAACTTTTCATATACTAGATATCTTCCTCTTCTTCCATTTACTGGCAGGTGGTTTGAATATGTAGTTTATATGGTCCCTCCACTTCCCTACCCTCTGAAAACCCTCACAATTTTGGTCATCTTACAAAAGAACCAGTCCCATCAAAGAGCATTACAATTATACATAGGGTTCATTTTGACAAAAACATATACACAAGGAATTTGACTTCAGTCCCCCCAATATCCTCTTTCCTCTCTCTTCCTATTCTCCCCCTTCTTCCCTCCCTCTCTCTTTCCCTCTCCCTCCCCCTCTCTCTCTCCTGATCCTCCTTTTGCTCCTTTATTATTTTTTGATTGGTAAAGTCCCTGATCTTTTGATTAACAAAGCTAACAGTCTTGTCTTAGTTCTATCTTCCGTAAACCATTGTTATTCCCTTTTTTTCTAAAAATGTCCTATACCTTCCCTATATATCTACCTCCATACCTTTTCCCTCTTTGCCAGGTTCTTTTTCTTTTTTAAGTACTGGGAATTGAACCCAGGGGCGTGTAACCACTGAGCCACATCCCCAGCTCTTTTTAAAATATTTTATTTTGAGGCCGTATCTCACTAAGTTGCTAAGGTTAGCCTTGAACTTGTGAGGTTAGCTTCAGGCTCCTGAATCACTGGGATTACAGGCATGTACCACCACACCCAGCTTTTGACTGGTTCTTATTTCTTACTACCAAAAGTGTATTGTATATTTCTCAATAGTTATATACTTTCCCTGGGTGTTTTCATCTCAGCTCTATATAAATGACTCCCTCCTAACTTCTAATAATTTAGTCATTTAAAAAAAATCTATTTCATCTCTAAGAGTCACAATTATAAGTTTGTTTTGAAGAAGCATGGCAATTTCTCATATGGTTAAACAAAATTACCATATGACCTAGCAGTTCCACACTTAAGTATACATCTAATACATATAAAACATATATCCACACAAACATTTGTATATGAATGTAGCAGCATTATTCCTAATAACCAAAAAGTAGAAATACAAATGTTCTTCAGTTGATAAATAATTAAAATATGGTATATATCCATACAATGGAATATTACTTAGCCAAAAATAAAAAAGGAATGAAATAATAATACATACTACAGAATGGATGAACCTTGAAATCTGTTTTTTTTTATTTTAATTTTATTTTTTTAACTATACGATTTATTTTTATTTTTTTTTAGTCATACATGACAGCAGAATGTATTTTGATATATAATACATACATGGAATGCACATACATCAATCATATTGTCTATTCTATTCTGTTGCTGAACCTTGAAATCTTATGTTAAATGAAAAGGGCCAAACACAAAAGACCATATATTGTAGGATTTCATTTACATGAACAGATACATTCAGAGAGAAAGTAGATGAGTGGATGCCAGGAACTTGGGGAAGAGAATACATAGTATGTGCTCATAGGCACAGATTTCTTTTGCAGATGGTGAAAATGTTCTTAAAGTGAGAC